GCTGAGAGACAGTAATGCATAGTGGAAACTGTTTGTGAAACTTAACTGAACTTACTTAAAATATATGTAAATATAGCCCATTTTGTGTTTTAAACACACATTAATGTGCAGTATGTCATGGTGCCCCTTTTCAAATAACCAGCGGCTGATTTTACTCAAATTAGTCTTTTTTCCTCTGGTTTGCCTAAAAACATGTCCTGAGAAGTTGTTTACAGTAGTCACATTTTTTTTTTTTGCTGTAATTCAATTGCAACAAACACTATGGTAGCTTCACTTGCGGTACTTTAAAAGATTGTAACTATATCCATTTTGACAGCCTACATTTACAGCAAGATTAATAGCTGGGGATAAAAGTCTAAAGCAAACAAAGAAATGCAATAATCCAACTTTTCTTTTACAGCGCTGCAGTCTGAGTACATCTTAAATCATCAGGATAATTCACTGGACCTCACTGCCAGGTGAGTTTGTGTATTTAAAATGCAGATACAGATTCAGCCGAACACCTGCAGGGGAAATCTCAAATTTGAATTTTATCTCTTTTGAATGACTATGAGAGAATATGTGGCTCAAGAGAAATTATTCTTCTGGAATACAGATGCAAGTTGTATTTAATCTAGTGAAATGTGATTATTTTCACAAACATGGCCTGAAGTTATTTATATTTGTGACACCTATTAGTCCCTGACCTTTGGATATGTAAAAGTCCTTTCCTTTATTTACATGAACGATGCATCTGTGATGGTTTTTGTTCGTCTCCCCTCTTGACAGCTGTAGCTATAAAAGAGTTAAATCTGCTGGAACCTTGCCCTGCTGGCCAATTGAATGGCAAGCACAGTGATCCAAAACACCCTCTGCAGAAATAAAACAATATATAGAAATGTGCAATACAGGGATTTAATTTTCCTACCACCATCCATTTATATAATACATGAAATGAACCTCAAATTAATTTGCACCGAGGCTCTAAAGTAACAATGTAATCTCAGTGTTATAGCACAGTTGCAAATGGATTTCTGTCTCTTGTAATTTTATAAGAAGCACTCTAGGGGTCACCTTAAAAGATGTCGCTATTTTTTAAAAGCCAAAACTATCCCGTGGCCTGTCAGCAAAGGGAATCTCTGCAATGCAATCTGTTTTGTGCCATCGATTTGTCTGGTATTGCGCCTTGTCACATGGTTTGCCTGTTAGGTTTGCTGGTATTGGCAGAGATGACTAATATTATACCCAGATGTCTATAATAAAGTGTGGAGTATCTGCTTACTTGTGCGCAATCGGGTCCTTACAACTTCCTGACCAGTGCAGAATGACTTGAACCCTGCTAAATGTTAAAGGAACAACATTACATTACATGGCACAGCAAGAGTGACAGAGAGAGGGGCTCAGCAGAATATGATGATCCTTCTATTAGTACCCTCCTGCTGAAGAACCTGAAACAGATTTCTCCAAATTATCCTGGATTGTGACGCCTCTGATACCACTCATTTTATATTTATCCGCTTTGTTAGATGTAATAATTTTACTGAAGACATGAGGGAAAATGTCCATTCTAAGATTTTAAACTTAAGGTCAAATGTCTGGTCAAAAATAATTATTCACCCCCAACCATTCATTTCTAATAAATTATAAAAATAGTTTATACTTGGAAAGGGTAAATCTGACACTTGTCAAGCAGCACCTGTCATGCAATCAGTCTCTTCAGAGCTCTCCCCCACAACCATAATGCATCTCCTCGTATACTTCAAATCCACTCAGCATTTCCAGCCAACTTTTCATACGTCACTTGAGCCCACCCAGATATTTCCTCAGCCATAACGCAGTACCTAAATTTAGGCAATATATTAGGACGCTCCCCTCTTCACCCGATTGTGACTTTTGCCTTTTTTTGGGAGCAAAGCATAGAGTTTAACAGAGGCTGTCCTTGTGTAGTGTTTAGTTTTCAAATTACCACAAAGACTCGGTGAAGGTCGCTCAGAATACACAATGTGACGTGATTTAAAGAGTGTTTTCATGACAGTAGCAGTTAAGAGCACAACGCTGCCAGAAAACACAGTTGACCCACGCAGTATTACAGCTTCAAAAAGACAAAATACAGCTTTAACATTATATAATTTGAGTTTATAGATAAAAAGTGTATTGTTTGCATTCTGGGCCTCAATAATGTCATGATAATGGCACGATAAATGTCACATCTAGATTTGCTTCTGCGTGCCAAAGCTCTCGTCCTTCGACCTAAACGCCCTGCAAGTCCCCCGATCAGATGGCTTGTTAATTTCCTCATTTCAGAGTTATATGGATTTTCCAGTTGCTGCTGTGTTCATAAACAAGCATTTCAGCTGACCCCCCTCACTCTTTGTGTGTCAGCGTTTTCTCTGAAGGAGGAATTTAGAGCTCAGAAAGTTTATAAATAAGCCTTCTATCAAGTTCCCCAACAGGTGTGACCCCTGTGTCCTAAAACTGAACACTTTCAGTGGGTGCCATTTGGTAAGTGAGGAGTGGAGGACAAACTGCCTTAACTGTCTTATCGTATGGAAACCTCGCCTCAGTATGTGTTATTTAAAATGTTTTCCTTTTTTACCCCTTCTAAATTATGACAAAGTATTAAACGAGACCAGTTTAACAATAGCAGCTGTAGTGAGGACAGACATGTCAAGTTCTGTCCCTGCCAGGGGAGTTTGAGGTATTCAATGAAGCTTTCAAGGATAAACGCCATATCAGGTGATATAGTGTGTACCCAGTAGCACTCAGCATGACACACTGAAAAGAACGCAGCTTGTCCCTATGGTGTTTCAACAAAATGCAGTAGGAGGGGGATTGTGGAGCTTGCCAGTGAAGTTGTGAAGGACCAGCTTCTTTTCGACACATAGCCTCAGAGTTAAGCAAGCATCTATTTACTGTTGCCACAGCTCCCACGATTGCTCAAGGTGTAAACAGGCAAGGGGAAAACTAAATGAGAGTTTAAGAATGTAATATAATAGAATAGGAAGGCATTTGGGGGAAGAATTACAAATATGCAGCATGTGATATAACTATTTTTGCACTATAATCCGGGGCACATCTGCATACGGAGGGCATAGGATGTACAGTAGTTTCCCAAAAAGTAGTAATTTTACAAAATGATAGAACTGCACAGTTGCAAGGTGTAGGAGCGCAGGTGTGCCCGAATGCATCTGTTAATGACACCTGGAATAACAGGAGGAAGCTTCTTGTTTTCTATCAACCTAAAATCATCAACCTAAAAAAAAGAATACGCCACTTTTTCATACATTTCCCATGCTTGGATTTGATTATAAGTAGGAACGTTGAAAAATTTAATTTGGAAGGAGCCTTCAGATCCCAAGGGAATAATTATGGTCAATCATAAAACTTTATCTCAGTATGAGACAAACAGGGTGACAGAGTCGTAGCTGATTGCTCAAATACAGTCTAAACAAAGACGCTCGGTCATGTGTGACTGATGTGCTTTACTCTTCAAACCCCTAAAGGTTATCAGTTATACACTTTCCTATTATGAGTTTACATTTCTCGTGTAGACTTAGGGTATATAACGCACAGTTAAAAGATTTACATTCAAGCTTGGTCTGCAGTAATAATAAGTGGGATGTGTTGGATGGTGGTTACTACAGTAATTGTGGAGAAACCTACCAATAAACAGCTAACAAACATTTTTACCTGTGAAAAACTTAGGTTAGGTGAACAAACTGGAAATTGTTTTGACTCACTGACTATACCTCACATGAAGTAGCAGCAAAGTGCTTAATATAATGTTACAGCTTTATTTTTGCGTATACTGGTGACCTCGTGCCTTATGATGATTGCAGACAAGGGGTTTAACACACCATTTTATTTACCACAACGTCGCTGGTAAGAACAGTAGAGAAATAGGAGACGATGGGTAATGGTGGGTAAAATGTGCTCCTCCATGTCACTCCCATGTCCTTAAATGTCCCTCCCCGTCCCCTGTCAACTGAGAGCAGTCTTAGAATTAGGACCAGGTGAGTCAAGAATGAAAGCTGGCTGGATTACTTTACATTATTTCAATCAATTATTCAAATGTCCCCATTGCCTTCATGATGGCTTGACGAGGCATGCCAAATAATGATCCCTCCCCGCACGCACATGCTCGCAAGTAAGGGACGCATGCTCGCCTAAATGATCACACTCACGTACATATACTCAGCTGAGCATGAGAAGAGTTCACACGTGCAAGCTCACAACAACAGCAAAACATTAATTTCAGTCCTGTTGATTGGACCCAACTGTGGAAAGATGTCTGTGTCAAGTCGACCTGTGTGAGGTCAGCACCAGTGCTTACTAGAGCTGGTTGCATTTAATGTCTCTGTCACTGTAGTCCCAGATAAGCAGCTGAAGCAGCACAGTGAGGGTAGAGGAGAGGAATAAGTATGGCCAAACAAGTGCAGGAAGAACAGGGAACCCTTTGTCCCAGACTGTGACTTTAAAGGGTGTCAAAAGCTAATAAATATTTTAGAATTAGGTGTGTGTCAGGGGCAGGCCCACTCTATCAGTCGTCTGCTCTGTTTACTCTCCCAGGGAAACAGGTGCAGCCACATGAAGGCGAATTTCATTTCAAAAATAGCATTTAGCATTTTACTCCTCCTGGAGGCCTTCTCTGAGAGAAATTCTCATGTAATCATACACCATGGTTACTGAAAACTTCTGAAGTTGATCCACTGAGACATATGGTGTCTTAGGGAGGGGAGGAGCTGCAGGGGCTTGAGGGACATAAATAGGATTTAAATGTTTGGTTTGTGATTATTATTATATTATTTGCAATGGGCAGATTTCTGTAACAACTGCATTAAATGACTTGTTTTGCTATTTCATAATCCAGGTCTTAAAAGTAATAGTTTGCAGTATAAAAAAAACAAACAAGTATGATACATGTGTTAAACAAATTTCCATTAGATCCAAAAAAACACAATAGATTAGTATAAAGCATCTGCAGTACAAATGCTGAGAATTAGTGTGCAAAACAAAATATCAAAGCTCCACAATATCCTTTATTAAGAATCTTCAATTACAGTATTGTAACGTCTTCGACATTTTCCTGAGGTGGCTTTGTGGCGAGAGCCTGTTTATTTTCATCATTAGAGGAGTGTGCTGTCTGCAGAACATCCAGGTCGAGCTCACACTCCCTCTGAGCCTTTGCATCTTATTTTTGAGTTTTTCCATTCGCGTCATCAAATGCTGCCTGCAACATAATGAGAGATGTGGCAATTAATTTTCTTTTAATCAAGGTCGAAATGAAGTAAATTGGTGCAGCTTGGCGAGCCCTCATTTTCTATTTTTGCAGTGATGCAAAACAAATACGATAAAATTATGGCCCTCCTCACCTTCTGTAATTAGAAAGCATGAATGATCAGAGGGAGATGATATGTACTATACAGTACCTCCGACTACGCCTCTCCCCCCAGAGATCAGATTTCAGCTCTTTTGAAACAGATGACCATGTTTTCCTCCCCTTGCCTCCCTTATTTGTCTGTTCTTTTTTCCCTCTGCTGGAGTTACAGACAGAGAGAGCAGCTCAACATGACATTGACTGCAATGTTGTTGTATGCCTCTCAAATCTTATTAAAGACCACAGCTGTGAAAGACCTTGCTGACTCTACACATTTCTATTAACTATGTTGTTTCAGTGTCCCTCCAAGCTGATTAGGAATTTATTAAAATTAGATTTTACCTGGACATCTTATCATCACCATATGGTGCGGTGACCATTTTGCTTTTAGTTTAGATGTGTGAATACAGCTTCTGCAATGATGTCTTAAAGCAACAGCTCTTTCCTGTTATCATTTCATGCTTTGAACTTTCAGCACAGACTGTTTTGGATTAAAAAGCTCCTAAAGGTCCAGTGCGTAACATTCAGGAGAATCTGTTGGCAGAAATGAAATACAATATTCATATTTTTTTTATTTGTGTATAATCACCTGAAAATATGAATCGTTAGAATGAGAATGAGCTGTTTTTATCTACGGAGGAATCGGGTCCTCTTCTACGGAGTCTGCCATGTTGAACCGCCATTTTAAACCGCCGCTACAGTTGCCCAGAACGGACAAACTAAACACTGGCTCTAAATAGTGCCTTTTATATTTTTTGCGAGTTTCATGTCAACCGTAGTTTCTCCTACACACTTGGAAGGCTGAGCGGTATTCAAATGGTTGCAGTCTGCAACTTCACCGCTAGATGCCACTAAATCCTACACACTTGTCCTTTAACACAGAATATATAACTTGTTTTGCGAAAACGTAAGATTGGTGTCATACTGTAGTTTTTACAAAGGACCCACACCTTAATTTCCTGTTGGAAGTGATTGAGGAAGTCACCACCTACCTCTTATTGTCCACTGCCTAAAGATGTAAATAGCTTAGATGGAGAAAACATATTGTCCTGGGATGAAAAGACAAACAACTAGGTTCATAGAGACTTGTTTAATTTGTTAAAAGAACTGTAGGAAAAATATCTTCTTACCACCATTGTGTTTGAGGTCATGAGAAATTCATGCTTATCCCTGAAGTTTGACAGAAAGAGTCATTCACTGGCCAAGGCATTTCAGCTCTTGCCCTCTGCTGCTCATGTGCTGTGTACATCTGTCACACCAAATGTGTCTCTGCGCGGCCTCAAACACTAGGTGTACACAGTGTTGAAATGCTCTGGAAAAATATATACAAAGGCTTGATCGAGCATTAGCTCTAAGTCAGCACAGTGAGGTGGGTATGGCGACAGCTGTCCAATCTTCCGCTCGCCCCCTCCTCCCTCACCAGCCACCATCACTTTTCAAAAATGCTCCCTGTTTACCATACATAGGCAGCTGCCACCACCGTTAACTTCCATAAGACAGCCACCTGCTAAAGGACATTTGTACATGTCTTTATTTAATTAAGGTGAATGCCAGTTCATCGGCCCTCTCATGCAATGTGACTGAAAATATGTCGACCTTGATAAAGCTCCTGCCAGTGGACGGTTCGGAGGCTTGTGGAGGGCATGTGTCTTCTTCATTGATCGAAATGTCACTTTTGCCACAAAAACAGTACATGTTCACAAAGTTTATACAACCCAACTTGTGCTGTTCTCTACAGCCAGATGCATATCGTGTACATTTGATTAAACATGAGCTCATTTGACCACTCTTTTTCAAACTTTTTATGCCTATGGCAAACTTTTTATGTGTGAAGACAAAAGGACAATCACACACACAGTGTTGTTTCACTAAGACATTATAAAATGTCACATTCATGTTTAACTGTGTTTTTGTGGCCTACAAATTTACAGTAGCACTTACTTTCAGTGTGAAACCTGAGCTTGTTTAGATGAACATAAAACAGGTATTGTGATTAATTGAGAACCTGCAGGCAGTACTGCTGTGGGTGTTACAATTTGGGCTGGTACTGATGTCAAGCACACACAGAGCTCTTGGCCAAATGCTCTCAGTCATCTTCTGTTTTTGTTATCTCTGCAAGCATAAGCCTGGAGGGGATCATGCGTTTGTTCATGTGTGACTTTCCTGTTGTGTATCTGTCTGCAGCTAATTTTACATGTACTGGACCTCTGTTGGTTGCGCTGATTCCCAATTTTAAAAAATATATATTTTATTGACTGCTCTGCTAAAGTTAGACACAGAACTAGATGGATAAAATCCTGTTTTTGTTTACTGTAAGGGAACCGGTGTGGGTACCAGATCTGCTCGGCCTGGCAGATCTCACATTAAAAAATTATGAATGGCCGTACGTTGGAAAATGTACAGACGCTGTGTGTTCGCACTGCAGACTACAGAGTCAATTTGGACTGTTCAAAAGGTCTCAACATCACTATGTTTAATTGAGTTTTACATTTAAGGTAGGAGAGTTGTATAGCAGAAGTATATATATACTGTAAACTTAGTACAACAACCACGTTGATTGCGTGTATATTAGTATAACCAATATATTATTTAAGATTATCATTAATTTATTTTTTTAATTGGCCTTTCCAGCTCAATCGGTAGATGCTCAAGGGGCTCAAGCACCAGAGCACCCATGTGATTCGGCGCATATGGCTGCTGCTACAGCTATCTTAGAGATCTGTGCAAGAAAGGAGATTATGATGGCATATGCTATCAAATGAGAGTGAGTGAGTGAGACATTTCACTAATGACAGTTCATTCTGGGCAGATAAAAATGTTCTATTTGTACTAATTTACTTTGTTTTATATTGTATGCGTATTTGAAGGCACACTTGTTGAAAATCCCTGCATTAGGTGTTGGTAAGGCTTTCAAAAGGACTGACACACTGGAAAATGTGCAATCCAACATCAGATGACACGTTTGATATCAATTTCATCTCAGTGTGTCCAGCACTGATATAGGTCAAGGAAGGAAGTGTTTACACCAACTGCAGTAACAGAAACCCTGTTGACAAAAAAAACCTTCTATAGCCATATGTTGAAACTCTTTTTCAAGTGTAGAAATAGAAAATTGATACATTGTAGCTTTAGGAACAGTTGTGTGTTGGAGATATTTCTTGACCAACAGCTGCTGGAAGTCATGACTGCACACAGCAGCTCAAAAATCCTGTCCTCATAGTGGGGTTATCTTGTATGGTAATATGTTTGTATTTATTTAAACAAACATTTCACCCTTCCAGTCTTGTCTTATGCTGAAACAAATATAGATATTTTAATCTGACTATAGGTATTTCCTAATATAAATATATATTTCTCAGAAAGGAGCGTCCTTTTAAGCAACAGAACTAATTAACAGTATCATGTGTTGCTATTCATAATCCATGTCTTGTGCTTTATCAAGAGTATTCCTATTATAGCTTTTTGAGATATATATATATATATATATATATATACACATATACATATATACCTCATGTTCTTTGGTATAAATATGACTATCTAATATCAGTGAATCAAAGCTATATATTGGCTTTGATTCGCTCTTGGTGAAATGAACCTTTTAGTTTAACCAAACTGTATGTCTTTTCTAACCTTGGACTGCCATGTGATTAGCTTTTAATGTTTTATAATTAGTAGTATCAATGGCAAAGGAGTCAGCAGGGCAGAGGTGGGCTGGGTACGCCCTTGAGAGCAGGCCTTATGAATCAACGGCTGGCGATAAATGGACTGGATCATTACTGAATCAAGTGATCTGCAGAATAATCTATTGATTTTCTGGTCTTTCTTACTTCTTTATTATTCTGTATCACAGTATTGCAACATCAGGAGGAACCCACTGATGGATGGGATGCTTAGACCTCTGCAGTGACCGTGGGGGGTTTGCTTAAGAAGAACACATTCCAGGGTACTGGGCATAAAATATATACAATGACACAAAGATTTATGCCTCATAAGGTGTGCTTTTTTTAAATTTACCACTGACATTCTTAACTATATACAGAGCATTAATGTTTCTGGGTGAGTCATCATGTTGATGTTTTAAGTGGTGGCGAATAGGTGGAGGTGAAGACATTGAAAGGCCTCATCAGCACTGAATATATACAGAATATACTACATAATAACACACAGCCACAGATTATAAGAAGTGGTCCTGAACTATGAACAAGCCCTACAATATTTATTAAGTGGATATTTTAAGCTGAATTTATTCAAATCTAATAGTGGCAGGTGTTAAAGGCTTTCTAGTCAAAGCAAAAAAGTCGAAATGCCATTGAAAACCTTTAATCCCCTTAAAAAAGCATGAGATAAAGTTCTTCTGTGAAATTATTCAGCCTAACCTTGAATTTTGTGAACTGGAAAATCTTGGGTGCACAGATGTTTAAATGGGATGGGCTTCTGATTATAATATGACAAATCAATTAACAAATATCCTAAATGTATTGGAGGTATACCAAGCAGTAGGTCACAATCCCTGAATCCTAAACCACACAAGGAAGAGATTAAAGCACTATATACCTTGTTAGTTGACTTTGCCATCGATCCTCTCGATTCTTTATTATGTACAACAGGACACATCACAAAACTGCTAATTGGCAATAATCTGTTTGTCAATAGTTCAGAAGACTGCAGAATTTAGATAAGGAAAGTTCAAGTTTAAAATACATTATCACAGCCCCACTATTCCTGTGGGGTTTACTCCTGGAATACCTTCAAGGAGTCTCATGCTCAGAATATTTTACAGTAAATTATTGATGTATGGTAGGTGGTAGGAAAGGTGAGAGAGAAGGAAAACAAAGACAGGAGGTGACATTAGTGTTCTGCCAATAGGAAGGTAAACTTTAAATTGACTCTGGAAAACACTGTAAATAGTGGTTGATTAATTGTGAAACTGAAACTACACACATATAGTGACAGTCCTTGTGAAATTATAGAGGACAATTTGTTTTACATTTTATTTAAAGTTTGAATCAATGTATGGACTAAATATAATTTAATATTAATAATAAAATGATTTTCAAATACTACGATTTAATATTATTACATTAACAATGGATACTGTTAATACTGTGACAGGGGTCAGTGCAGTTGCCCTCAGTTTGGAGCGTTTTAGTGCCTTTCAGCTAATTGTTTTGGTACTACGGCCCTCAACTTCACTTCAACCCCATTTCCAGCTGCAGTAAGCAGCTGTTTTTCAGCTAGAAAAGCTCCAAAAACACCAATCAGCAGACAGACAAGATTAGCGACTAACTGGTGCACATAAGGGAGCATTTAGAGTTAGATATTTCTCCAAAGAGTTGGTGGAGAAAAAAACAGAGCTAAAAGAAGAGCCATTGGATTTATCGGCAGTCCAGAAACAAGTCTCTAAATGAATGAGTGTGTAAACAAGCAACTGTGATAATATGTCAGTGTTGTGTCTGCAGCTCTTTCCGCTGCCTCCAAGGAACAGAAAAAAAAAATCAGTTTCATGGAAAAATTTCAAAATAGCCATAACCCCAACATTTGCATATTGGGAGATATTTTGGAGTTTCATAGTTTGGGTCATGCCAATATTTGCATGATACCAGCAATAATTATTTTTATAGACAAAACATGGGGACCCACTGTTTATGTGAAATAGTTTAATGCGCAATTATCATATATTGTATGGTCCAGCTTTCTGTAGACACAGTGCTTCAGTGATTTTTTTTTCCTATAAAATGAATGCCCTAAAGAGAAACATGGCCTATAACAAAATTCAGTAGACTATAGTCAGGTTAAGGGTTACTTCTGTCCTTATACCACTGAATACCAAGACTGATTTAATTTTTTTTCAGAATTTATTTGGGATTTGGTAAAATTTATTTTGACTTTGCATATAAATATACAATAGCCCACTCTGCTGTGTGTTGTGTAATTTCTCATGTATGCTTATGTATATATTTTACTACAAGGGTAATAGAACCAAACCAAACCAAAAGCACTTTATCGTCTTTCATCCTCAAACCACTGTTCATTTCATTGCTTTGGTTATCCGGATCAACAAAGCAAACACAATTCATGGTCCATCTCTTAGCTAACCTCTTTTCATAGCTTCTGTATCATCAGCCTTTTAAAAAAAACAAGCTAAAACATGTTCCTGGGGTTTCATGTACATTTTGTAGTTAAATACATTAACTAATGTATTTCTATTGGCAGGTGAATTTGGGAACAACCACAGAAAGACCCAGTGACATGTTTCAGATTTTCAAAGAGGGAAGATGATGATTGATGTTTGGGGAGCAGAGGGGCAAGGAAGGGGGCGGGACTTCACTCGTGGGCAGCCATTACCTGAAGTGCAGTGTCCTGATAGTGACTGAATAATGGGGTGGCTGGTGGAGAAAGTCAGAGGCCAAAGACACAGTTTTTTTTTGTCCCTTGAGCTTGTACAAAAACAGAGAAACCATTGAGCAATAATGGGCTGAAGTTACATACAGCAGGTGGTCAGAAAGACGAGTCAATGTGGATGCCCAGTGTAAGTAGGCACTGCAGTTAAGCTAGCTGAGGCAGTTGTTTGCTAATTTACAGCTGGTTAAATGCACTATAGTGAGTTTGTTTTGTCCCATAGAGCTGAAACACCAGGTAATGCAGCTATGTGATATTTATTTTCTGGCAGACAAATACTACTCAGTACCTGTGCAAACAGAGACAAAATATAGGTGTCTCAATCAACCTAAATGGGACGCCCTTTTTAACTATATCTGCTTCAGTCAGCAAGTGAAGGGTGACATATTAAAATCTGGCTTTTGTTAACTTTTATTTATTTAAAACACCTAGGATGCCCCGAAATAAACAAACTTAAAGTAAAAGAGCAAACTTCTGACAAGCTGTCAGCTGAGAGAGGGACCGCCATTAAACTCCAGTCCAGGTTTTCCAAACAACACCTGCTAACCGAGAAATTCAATTAAGGACTCCTCTTCCCACTTGGAGCCGGTCTCCAGGGCAGATCTTCCGGGCGACTCGCCCTGTAAGAAATTAGAAAATGCTACAATAAAACCAGAAAAACTGAAAAAAAAATGTGGCAACTTTAATAATGAAAGCGCTCACGTTTCCCAGCGTAAACACACGCCCCTTTAGTTGGAAGTCACCGAAAGACAGCGAAGTACCACAGGTAAGAGTTTCCCTTTTCCTCTCAACTACTGTACATGCTCATTTCATTTTCCAAACACATCATTTTCTGCAGGAAGCGACACCAAAGTGCTCCTCGCTGTGACCGTGACACTGCAAACGAGCATTGTTAAGCAGTTTAAAATAGGAAATGACGCTGGAGATGATAGAGACTTGACGTGAGGACTTGTCGGTAAACACGGTGTGACTCCCAGCCTCGATGCAGCGGCGGCAGCAGCAGCGCCGACAGCAGCAGGTCTGGAGCGACTCACACAGTCTGTTAGTGAAGCTACTGTACTCTTTCTGAAAACGCCGACGAGAGCACCGGGCTCTCCTAAAACTTTGTTAATTCACACAACAGTCAAATTCAAAGCCGTCAAAGACCGGGTGAGAGCCGCAGGCGACCAAAAGCCAGCCCCGTTGCAAAGTTGAGACAGATAGGTGCAACTTTTCTCCCCCCCTCAGTTCGTACTTTTTGCACAGTCAAGGCGAGCTCAGAGACTCCTAATGCCAAATATTAAGCTTATAAGCGACAACGTGAAAACGAGAATGATAAGAGGTATTTTAATATTTATTCAGCAGCCCAGACCTACAGCATTAGTAATTGCTGTCCGCTGACACTTCTCCAAACCTGCACAAACGACACAAATGAGCGACTTTTGGGTGCGACTTCAGCGCCGAAAGTCTCTGTTTTTGTCTAGAAAAAACTTAGTGAAACTTCTTTGGTTGCCTCTAAACAGGTAGTAGCCTTCATACAGTATCATTTACCGTAAATAGAGGAACTACTATAAATGCAATCAATATTCTAAGCCTGAAATGCGGAAGTTCTGCTGTTTAAGATTGTTTGTAAATGACTTCTGAAAATATTTTTTTCTTTATCTCGCGTGTGTGCCAAGTTAATTGGGGATGTAGTGTCAAATAGTAGGCCAAATTATAATGCATGACAACAGGCTGTTGTAAATAAATACATCATAAATAACACATCATTATTAAACTGTTTGTAAAACCTGACCATTTGCCTAAAATGGTGTGTCAACTATTGGCAGGTTATACACCTCTCTGACACCACACAGCAAACACACGCAGACACACACACACACACACACACACACACACACACACACACAGACACAGACAGACAGACAGACAAACTGTATTTGCTATGGTAAATATGATTTTTCTGCAGTTCCTGCTCTCAGTGGCTGGAAGGCAGATTTTCTGACTTCCACCGACTGTAGAACAAACAATCTGTTTAAAAACACTGTACATATTGTGCTTGGTTGGTTAGTTGTGATCTCTACAAAACACCACTATGATGTGAGATTTAATTTAACATGCTTTTGTAAAGGGTCACTGTTTCTTCTCTTGTGCATTTCTAAATGTCTGTGCTGTGTGCTTGCCACTGTTTGTTATTATTATCAGGGATGAAGACGAGGACAGGAATAGATCACTGGCACTTTAAACCCGGAGTTCTCATATTCTCGCCGGATCTTTCTCCTTTGCTAATTATTGTGTTGTTTTCAGAGCAAATATGTCATATCCATGGCGACCAGGCAGGTTTATTGTCTCTCCCGTGCAATAGCTCACAAAAGTAATTAATTATCCTTTTTTTCTCTCTCTCCTGTCTTTGGTTAAACAGATCATTCATGGAAAGCCGTCTTCTATATTAAAAATGCCACTGCTAGTACAACACAAGGTAAACATGAAAGTTTTGTTTTTCATTTTTACAGGTTTGATGTCCCTTTTTGTGCTTTGATTTTTTTTGTCTTACAAATCACTTGTAGATTAAATAATTTTATAATGTAAAAAGATGCATTATGCACACAGTGTGTGCTTTTGAGGTATTTTCCATAATACCCTCATAATGCAGCAGCTGTGCAGCCTTACTGTTGCAGATGTATTCATGCATGCAAAGCAAGCACACACTTGACACTTAAACAGGCGAGCTTAAAAACACATGTTTAGACCTGAAATCAGCTTCCATTTTGTGTGATTTGAATAGCAAGCATTAGCCAGACTAAAGGTAAATTTGCTATAGAGGTGTCTCCTATTTTATAAGGTCGCCAAAAATAATAACCAACAGCAGGTGACACTACAGGGTACAATAGTTCACCTCAGTGCATTGCAGAGCTATTTACACACTCTCCTATACAGTCTGTCCAAAAGGAGATGTGAAGTGATCAGCTGAAGCAGTTTCCAGCTCTTCATCCTGTGTGCTCCCTCAGTGCATCTCTGAAAGGTGACGGCATGTGTCTGCTGTCTGGAGGTCCATCTCTAGCAGGACACAAGCCAGCCTTCGCTGTCAGAGTGGTGGTACAGGTTCTCATCTCTCTTCAGCATTGATGAGACACTGCAACATCCATCTGTCAAACATACTGCCCCTCTTTCTCTACCTCTCTTTTGCTCGCCCTCTGCCTTCCTTCTTTCATAATTTTTCATTTTCATGTCACTATAGGTGAAGGTATAGCTGGGTAAGTCTCCTGAGCTGAGAAGGCAGTGATGCTTATTATCAATTTGTGCTGTTTTAATTGAGATTTGGTTTGTGTGTTCAGTTCAGTGTTTATGGATAGGGTACTCCAGGCCTTTTTTATTGTGTCTCACTGTCTCTCTAAAATGGCACTTGAAATATAGCCTGTAGTGCTGTGCTCCTGGTTCACTCTACTAGTTGAGAATCTCATTGGTTAATCAGTGTGTGATGCCTCCAACATTCTTATTTCCTGCAGCCCTATCAGTCAGTGAAATGCCTCATGTCTCATAAGTACCCATCTGCATCTGTCAAGGGGTGTGTAGAATTAAACCCATGTGTATTCCTTTTCTGTTTGACCTTGGCTGTGGACCTCAGGTCTTTGATGTCAAATAAGCGTCAGTAATCCCAGGCGGCATTTGACAGGCTTTAGGAGCCATTACTTTTGTTTCCAGCACATAAGCTTTATCAATTGCCCTCAGTGTAATGATTTTGTATACAAATTCACACTACCACAACCATAGTGTTTTGCCTTGTAAAAATACGCTGCCTTCAACACGTACCGTTATACCAGCACAAATAGCACACATGTTTTTTTAATCATCATTATTGTTTTTATTTTAGTGCTAAGGAAATGTCCTTTTTGCATGCTTGATCAGCCAGTAGAGAAATCCAATATAATGGAGGTTCAAGGTGAATTGCATCCCGTGCATTCTCAACCCCCCCCACCCTCCACTGAAGGAATATTCCAGAGCAAAATAAACAAATCACACAGACAACAGTAATATAGGGTTGATTTTGAAGGCATGAAATAAGTATCGATTAAATCCTGCAGTTCATAGATGAAAATGGCCTTTTTGGTAATTTGTCCTGGGTCCTTTCAATACGGTAGAGAGAAGGAGAGAGAGGGAGAGAGAGACTGCAGAAAAGGTGGAGAGGAAGAATAGAGGGAGGAATAAGACAAGTAAACGTAGAGAAAGACAGAGAAGAGCTTTCACAGAGCTGAGAAAGGGACATGCTGCCCCTTTCCGAGCTCATTATCATTCTTAATAAGTCTTAAGGAAAGAAGGAGCATTGAGTGTAAATGCAAGGTAATCCTTACACTGGCCAAGGTTAGTAGGGACGTAAGCACATGTGCACCGTTCCCAGCTGGCCACTTTGGGACAGGGAGGGGACCAGAGGAGCACATTTAAGGATAGATGTTCAAGGAGAAAGTGAGGACGTTTAGACAATGTATAAAGGTTAGGCCCTTTCCCCCAGCCTGTAGCTTTTCAGTGCGTGCACCACCTGGCATTTAGTGAGTAAACAGTTCTGCATCACACTAAAAACAGTTGTATTTAGTCATAAGATCTGGTGTGGGCTGTAATAATTCAGTAGAAGTTCTAAGAATAGACAGGTGAGGAGCACAACGCTTGATTAAAAATCTAAATAAGACCGTTTTGACTTTGGCACCATTCCCCACAAGGGATTCAGTCTTGTACTCAAAGTAACTGTTGGCTGCAGTGCATGCCTAATTCACTGTTCTTTGGGTGTGGTCCAAAAACAAGCATTAAGATGAATTGGATGAACCGGTGACCAATTAACTCATTTGACAAATTGCCAGCCACTTGTAGTGGTTGATCAACCATGTTGCTTTAATGGAAATCCAATGCAGTATGTATTTATATACTGTACTAAGCTTACAGTCCAATGTTGTGTCACCTAGTGCATTCTACAGTGTTAGTAATATTACAGTATTCCTGTTCATTAATCAAATCACATGTGAGACATGTCTGGCACATTAATCTTAGTCCACAGTGAAATCACAGCAGAAGATGATTTTTATACTTCTAGTAATTAGTACAGTGAGTGGGTCTTGCTGTTTAATCGTCTGACAGTTTTAAAGCTCTTGTTTTAAAAATCTACCCATTGCAGTCTAAGCACCTACGCTACTTGTAGAGTTTAAAACTGTCTAAATGTCTCAGAATTCACTTAAGAGTCAGATTTTTTTGTTTTTCTTAAACATAGCATTCTTGAAAGACCTGTCGACTGCTCTCTCGACAAGTATATGGGGCAGTCTGTTTTTTTTTCCTCAGCACAATTAACTTGTCAATATGACTCAGGAATATGTTTTGCTCTTTTATTAGTTGTGGTAATCGTTCAGAATCTCATGACTTGGTTCAAACTCCAATTCTTGGTATATGATTTGATTCAGAATCCATTTTTGATTTCAGAATTGATTCTCGATTTCAAAATTGATTCTCGATCCAATGAATAGAAAAGCAAGGCTTTTTTACTCCAGTGTGCAGTGTGTCAAACTGTGAATGTTTTTACTGAATCCACTGAATTTCAATATTAACATAGCTCATACTTAAAAGGTCTTGACTAAGGTCTATATAAGAATAAAAGCAGAGAAAAGTGTTGGTCAGCCATTTGCCCATGCTGCTCCACTTTGCAAACATGGGTCATCTGTAAAAGCTATTTGTTAAGTTATTGAATCCAAACGGAGCCCAAAAACTTGACTAACTACTGGATAACTCTATCAGTGTCCAGGTACTGCGCTGTGTTCTCACGGTAGGGTTCTGGATTTTTCTTTCTGTCAGCATAATGTTGTTAACGATGTAACAAAAATACATGAATTTTTCAGAAGATAAGAATTGCAAATATTATGGGAATCGGTTTTCCCCCAACCCTGTAATGTATCACAAGAGTTTCCTAATGACAAATATGTGCCACAGGTCTCAGTGGCAACTTTATAGATTCTAGTTTAACCAGATTCCCATTTAAGTGTTGATAAAAATGTTTTTTCAAAAGGTTACCTCTCACACAAAACAATATGAAAGTTGGGGCGGAGCATGAATGTGTGCCATTTGTTTCAGTACAAACAAACAGTCACGATTAAAGATAATTTTAGCACACAGCACATGCTATTTGTGTCTTCAGTCTAACCTGTAGTCTGTGGAGGGGTGACAAATTATCACTCAAATATTTTCACTTTGAAAAAGTTGCCATTTGCCATAGAAAAATGCATTTCCCCACAGATATTTTGGTTGTTCAAATATTAGATGTAGTTGGATCAACCAACCATATTAACCCTTGTAAGAAAATTTGTTTCCAGGCCTCGTCTCCAGCTTTATACTGCCGATGTATTTGAATCTTGGATCCTCTTGGGAATATGTTTGCTTAATTGTCCAAGAAGGGGACAACGGTCAAATAAACAAATGAAATTGGAGCTGATGGTGTAGAGTGGGAGTGCCCTTTTGTCTTGCTCAGTGTAATGCCATCTCTTTGCCTTTCTGTCATGTAAGGATGATTTACCCAGAGACAGATGTTCTCAGACCTTTGCTCATGAACCTGCACCATTTTGTTCTATTTTTTGCCCTTTTAAAGGTTAAGGAGTGAAAGGCTTTCCCTGCAACATGTCAGCCTCTTTTGATTGCTGTGGTGTCAATTGCTCTGTTCTATTGTATGTTGAGTTTAGAGGCTGAACTGCTAGTGGACCTAACTCTGACTGGGCTGAAAACGTTGCCATGTTACACATGGAAGATGCTTTTAGGAACATCTCTTCTCCTCACTGCGTTTTGGTTGAGGCTTGGTTGGCAACCTGCTCCATTACTGCCCCCTCCTCCCCCACCACCAACCCTCCAACCCCCCTCCAGGGAGCCTTGGGAGGCAGAGAGCCATCACCATGGTGATCTGAACACAGATCCCCCACACACCGGTCCATTGTGACTGGCGTGCGTTGAGGTGAGAGGGAACAAAATGTCACAGCAACAGGTTTTTTTGTGTTTTTGTTTTTGCCTCAATTCTCGGTGGGATTGTGCTCAGATCCAATGCGCTCAGTTACACTGGAGAGACTGTGGGAGTTAGGGAAACAAGTTGATTGGAGAAATAAATAGAGTTACATGGAAATACACTGGAAATACTAAAAAGTCTGTGTTGTTGTTTTCCTTTTTTTGTGTGGTTTTATTTAGTGTCAATCTAATGATTGCAAATTGGAAGATAGTTTATAATAATAATAAAGGTAGTTTAATCAGGCAGAGATTTTATGCAGGATGTTTTAACAACACAGATAGTTTGTCCACGGACGACAGCAGGGACACAAGCTTTTCGATAGAGCCCAACTGATATAGGTATATCTGATTGAGTCAGATACCGATTTTAGAGGGGAAAATTCATCGATTTCTTTAACTAAAATGAAAATAGACATTTTCTATGTCGATTGTGCACTAATTTTGCACCGACACGTATTA